AAAAAAAAAAAAAAAGCCTGTCAACCAAGAATACTATACCCAGCAGAGCTATCCCCTAGAAATGAGAGAGAAATAAAATATTTCCCAGACAAGCAAAAACTGAGGAAATTCATCACCACTAGACTGGCCTTACAAGGTCTGCTTACGGTGGTGCTACATCTGGAAGCAAGAGGATGATTACCATTGTGAAAACACACAAAAGTATAAAACTCACTGGTAGAGCAGATACACACATGAAAAAGAGAAAGGAATCAAACTTTATCACTACAGAAAAAACACAAAACCACAAAGATTTTTTAAAATATGGAAGAAAAGAACAAAGGATATACAAAACAACCAGAAAAAAATGAACAAAATGAAAAGATAAAACCTTATCTATTTATAATAACTTTGAATGTAATGTAAACAGATCAAATTCCCAATTAAAAGTTATAGAGTTGATTGCCAAGATTAAAAAAAAAAAAAGACCTAAATATATACTGCCAACAAGAAACTAACTTCACCTGTAAAGGTACACAGACTGAAATGGAAGGGATAGAAAAAAAATATTTCAGGCAAACAGAAACCAAAAGTGAGCAGGGGTAGTTATGTAAGATAAAACAGACTTTAAGTCAAACTGTATGGAGAGACAAAGAAGGTCATTTTATAATGATAAAGGGATCATTATAAGATCATAATAAGATATAATAATTGTAAATATATATGTACCCAACACTAGAGCACTCAGATAAACAAGGGAAATATTATTGGATCTAAAGGGAAAGATAGACTCCAATGTAGTCATATTTGGGAACTTTAATATCCCACGCTTAGCGCTGGAAAGATCATCTAGACAGTAAATCAACAAAGAAATATCAGATTTAAGCTTACAGATAGGGATAAGTTCTGGAGTTCTATAGTGCTGTAGGGTAACTACAGTTAACAGTAATTTATTATGTATTTTTAAATAGAGAGGAGATTGAGTATTCCCAACACAAACATTTGAGGTGATAGATATGCTGATTATCCTGATTTTATCATTATACGTTGTATACAGGCATTGAAATATCACTCTCTACCTTATAAATATGAACAAGTATCATGTGTCAATTAAAAGTATTTTTAAAGAATGAAGGAAAAAGATTTTTTTAAATGAAAGAAAATAACGTGACTTGGCTGAATGGCCCTGTGTGGTCTCTCATTCTCCAGTAGGCTGCTTCAGGCCTGTTCACATGATGGCAGAGGCAAGAGTCCCAGGAGCAGCAATCAAAACAATGCAAATCCTCTTAAGGCCCAGGCTCAAAATTAGTATATTACTTCTACTCCATTTTATTGGACAATGCAAATTACACTACCAGTCTGGATTCAAGAAGTAGAAAATAAACTCCAAGAATTGATGGAAGGAATTTTAAAGAATTGTGGCCATTTTTGACAGTCTACTATAGGGAAGAAGGATGGGGATGTTATAACCAAAATGTGTGTTCTTAGGTTAAGATCCTAAATTATATTCAGGGCATACTGCTTTAGGCTCTGTGGATGACTCAATTAATTTCAAACATACAATGCTGTTTACTGTGAAATGCTAGCTGAAAGGATCATTGTTTAATTTTATGTAATTTATAATACTTATTATACCTCAATAAAAATATAATTATTGAAGACTGACATCAGTTGCTGAGAGGTGAAAGGAATACCTCTCTGCAACGTGTTAGCTCAGGTCTGAACAGGACAGGGCCGCAAGTTCAGCTACTTCCCAGAAAATGGCCTGAATCACCGACCTGAGTCATCATCCCATGACTGGAGAATATGGACAGATTATTTTATCAAGAAACTGGTGATAAACCAAGGGCTATAGGAATTAAGAACTAGGGCTAAAAAAGAAATGTTTAGAGTGATCCAACATGGCCAATTAGAAGCAGCTGCAGTTCACAGTATTCAGGAAGAGGAATGAAAAGAGGCGAGTAAATTCAGCACCTGCAACTGAGATATCCAGATTCTCACATTGGGACTGACTGAATGAACAGCTCAACCTATGGAAAACAAAAGTGGAGAGAGGGTACAACGGCCCAGCAGGGAGCAGCGTGGAGCCAAAGAACCCCGACTCCGAGTCAAAGGAGGCAGTGAGTGAGTGTGCAATCCTGCCCAGGAAACTGTGCTTCTTCCCTGGATCTTTGCAACCTGTGGATCAGGAGATACCCTTGTGAGCCCATGCCACCAGGGCCTTGGGTCTGATACACAGAGCTGTGTGGAGTCTCGGCACATCAGCTGCTCAGGCACACACAGAAACCCAGGAGTTTTGCATACTCCAGCCCCTGAGATCTTCAGCACAGTAGGAAATCTGTCCATACGTATCTCTGGGAAGGTGGCTGAATCCAGGGAGCAGGCAGTGTCATTCTGTAGGCCCCATTTCCATGGCACCTCACAAGTTAAAACCCACTGGCTCGGAATCCTAGCCAGCCACCAGCAGCGGGTTGGAGTCTGCCTCAGATGAGTCTGAGTTTTCGGGGAGTTGGGGAGGCACAGCCAGCATCACTGTAGTTCATAGACTCAGCCACTCCAGCCTGCCAGCTATGGAGAATACAGACCGTCTGGACAAAAAAGAGTTCCCCACAGCACAGCTAATCGTGACCAGACTGCTTCTTTAAGCAGGACCCCAGTTCATTCCTCTTCACTGGGCAGGACTCCCTACGGGGGCTTTATCTACTCCAGCAATGGTTCTATGGACAGAGATTTAATCTCTCCCTGAAATGGAGCTCCTGACGGGAGGAGCAGCTGTCATCTCTGCAACTTGGCCAACTCAGCCACTCCAGCCTGCTAGCTTTGGAGAATACAGGTGGTCTAGAGAAGGAAGTGTCCCCAGAATGTAGCACACCTGCTCTACCCAAAAGCAGCCAGACTGCTTTGGATGGGTCCCTGATCCCATGCCTCCTGACTGAATGAGAACACCCAACAGGGGTCTCCAGCCACCTCCTGCAGGTACGTGCAAGTTGGCTACCGGTCAATATACCCCTGGGATAGAGCTTCCGAAGGAAGGAGCTGGCTGCCATCTTTGCTGTTTTGCAGGCTTCACTGGTAATAGCTCCAGGTACTGGAGAAACTTAGGTGACTGGGGTCTGGAATGGACCCCCAGCAAACTGCAGAAGCACTATAGTAGAGTGGCCTGTTAAAGGAAAAACAAACAGGAAATAACAACAACTGCTCAAAGAAATCAGAGAATACATACAAAAAATGGAAAAACATTTCATGCTTATGGATAGAATAAATATTGTGAAAATGGCCATACTGCCCAAAGCAATTTATAGATTCAATGCCATTCCCATTAAACTACCATTGAAATTCTTGACAGAATTAGAAAAAAAAAAACTATTTTAAAATTTATATGGAAGAACAACAAAAAGAACCTGAATAGTTAAGACAATCCCAAGCAAAAAGAACAAAGCTGAAGCCATCCCGCTACCTGACTTCAAACTATACTACAAGGCTACAGTATCCAAAACAGCATGGTACTGGCACAAGAACAGACATGTAGACCAATGGAACAGAATAGAGAACTCAGAAATAAGACCGCACACCTACAACCATCTGATCTTCAACAAACTTAACAAAAACTAGCATTGGGGAAAGGACGCCCTATTCAATAAATGGTGCTGGAGTGCTGGTTAGCCATATGCAGAAAATTGAAACTGGACTTCTTCCTTACACCATATACAAAAATTAACTCAAGACTTAAATGTAAAACCTCAAACTGTAAAAACTCTAGAATAAAATCTAGGCCATGCCATTCAGGACATAGGCATGAGCAAAGATTTCATAATGAAAATGCCAAAAGCAATTGCAACAAAAGCAAAAATTAACAAATGAGATCTCTGATATACAGAGTCTACAAGAAACTTAAATTTATGAGAAAAAAAAACACCATTAAAAAGTGGACAAAGGATATAAACAGACACTTCAGAAAAGAGACATACATGCAGTCAACAAAAATGTGGGGAAAAAAAAAAACTCAACCTCACTGATCATTAAAGAAATGCAAACAAAAGCACAATGAGATACCATCTTATGCCAGTCAGAATGGCCATTATTAAGCCAAAAAACAACATATGCTGGCAAGGTTGCGGAGAAAAAGAATGCTTTTATACTGTTGGTGGGTGTGTAAATTAGTTAAACCCTTGTGGAAGACAGTGTGTCAAATCTTCAAAGACCTAGAGGCAGAAATACCATTTGACCTAGCAATCCCATTACGGGCATATACCCAAAGGAATGTAAATCATTGTCTTATAAAGGTACATGCATGCACACATGTGTTTATTGCAGTAGTATTCACAATAGCAAAGACATGGAATCAACCTAAATGCCCATCAATGATAGATGGGGTAAAGAAAATGTAGTACATAGAGAGAGTAGGACATCTGGCTTCCAAGTGGGAACCTTTGTAGCGCCATTGACGAAAGAGAGAATTAAATATGGGTGATGTTGAGAAAGGCAGGAAAATTTTTGTTCAGAAGTGTGCCCAGTGCCACACCGTGGAAAAGGTGGAAAAGGGAGGCAAGCATAAGACTGGTCCTAATCTCCATGGCCTCTTCAGGCAGAAGACAGGTCAGGCCATTGGATTCTCTTACACAGACGCCAATAAGAACAAAAGCATTACCTGGGGAGAGGATACACTGATGGAGTATTCGGAGAATCCCAAGAAGTACATCCCTGGAACAAAAATGATCTTTGACGGCATTAAGAAGAAGGCAGAAAGGACAGACTTGATAGCTTGTCTCAAAAAAGCTACTAGTGAGTAGTAATTGGCCACTGCCTCATTTATTACAAAGCATGAGAAATTTCTCGTGACTTTTTTATGTGTACCATAATTTAATAGATCTCATACACCAGAATTCAGATCATGAATAACTGACTGTTGGGCAGTCCTGATTTAAGACTAAGGCTGGTTTGTGGTTAAATGAGTAACTTTGGTCTTTGAATTTTAATAGTAATTCCAATTCAGTAAATGCTATCACTGTATGCCCCTTCTAAAGATATGATTAGACTTTGTAAATAATGTTCAACTTTTCAAAGATGGTGAGTGCCATCTTAAAACTTATTGAAGACCATTTTTATATTTAGATTGATATAACTGGTTATGTGAATATATTTAAATACTGGGGAAATTCCTTTACTGTCTCAGAACCAAGTAAGATTCACCTGTATTTTGTGTTTATTTCCCTCTTAAAGGCCAGGGTTGAAGATGAGGTAGCAATGTCTGCTTTATATTTTTGGCCTTAGCTATGTCAATCTAATTAGAATTCCCGTTATTTAAAATGGTTCCCTTTACTTATTGAAAGGCATTTTAGTGTGGTTTATGCGTAATATCAAATAAAGATTATTTAACACTTAAAAAACAACAAGAACAACAAAAAGAAAATGTGGTACATAAACACCATGAAATACTGTGAAGCCATAAAAAGGAACAAGATTACATGCTTTGCAGGGCCATGGATGGAGCTGGAAGCCATTGTCCTCAGCAAACTAACACAGGAACAGAAAACCAAACACTGCATGTTCTCACTTATACATGGGAGCTGACGATGAGAACACATGGGTATATGGTGGGGAACAACACACACTGGGACCTGTTGGGAGGAAGGGTGCAGGGGAAGGAAGGCATCAGGAAGAAAAGCTAATGGAATGCTAGGCTTAATACCTAGGGATGGGAGGATCTGTGCACTAAACCACATGGCACACGTTTACCTGTGTAATAAACCTGCATATCCTGCACATGTACCCCTGAACCTAAAATAAACGTTGAAGTAAAAAGATGTATAAAATGATCTGTATGTATGTATGTATGCCCTGATGTAAGTACACATATGTATATGCATGCATATATAATCACATTTTTATTGAAGTATAACACATATGGTTAAGTTGCGCTAATCAAGTGTATATCTTGATATTATACATAAGTATATATGCATGTAACCAACACCTCTGTCAATATATTGATCTATGACTGATCTCCAATTAATTGTTGTAAAGATATAAAGTATCAAGGTTCATGTTTCTCATAGAGCTATCAATCCCTCCTGTACCATTTATTGTAAAGAGCATAATTTCCCCCAGTGAATTGCAGAGGTATGTTTATTGCAAATCAAGTGAACATATATGCGTAGGTCTGTTTCTGGGCTTTTGTCCTTTCATTATGACTTGTCTATACAGTTTTAATCTTTTTGACTTATTATTTCCTCCTACCAGAGAAAACCAGTTTAATAAATGGATGACTTTGATACCTTAATTTTATTTTTCTTAATATTAAGCCAGTAAACATTGCTCTGAGGGTACCATATTAATCAGTTTTAAAATTTTGTGTCATTTTGTTGTTGCACAGAGATATATGTGTGTACATGTGTACGTTTCAGAACGATATATTTCCAAAAAATAGTGGGACTCATATACTGGTATTAACTGTATTTTAAATAATAACTACTATTTGTTTTTCATTTTAAAGGTTATACATATATATACACATATGTGTGTGTGTGTGTGTGTGTGTGTATATATATATATATATATACACACTCATAAGTACACATATATCTTCATTAAAAAAAAATAAGAGAACAGAGGAGCCAAAAAAGTCTCCATATTGTTACCAGTTATTTAAAATTTGATATAATGTTTATCTTTTTCTGTCATGCATACACACAATCATACTATATACTTTTTGCATTTATTTGTTTACATAGTGCTTAGGTAGACTGTAACATGCAGATCATTATCTTAAGACACATCCATTCAGAATTAAATTTAAATAAGAGCCAATATGAATCAGATTTAAATAAGAACCACAATAACTGTGAATTAATGATTTGGAACAAATTTACTTAGTTAACCAGCTAAATTACTTATCTGGTAGCTTTAAACAGCGTGTATTTACACTAGAGACTAATCTGAATAGCCAAACACGCTTTGTGGACTATGTGAAAAAACACAGTGGATTAACACTTGAAATTTCCATACCCTGGTATTCCCTGAATCTCCCCTAGAAGATGCTGGTGAGAGACAAATTAATAGAAAGTAGTAACCATTGGGCTGGGCGTGGTGGCTCACGCCTGTAATTGCAGCACTTTGGGAGGCCGAGGCAGGTGGATCACGAGGTCAGGAGTTCAAGACCAGCCTGGCCAAGATGGTAAAACCCTGTTTCTACTAAAAATACAAAAAAATTAGCCAGGCATGGTGGCATGCAACTGTAATCCCAGCTATTCAGGAGGCTGAGGCAGAGAATTGCTTAAACCCGGAAGGTGGAGGTTGCCGTGTGCAGAAATTGCGCCACTGCACTCTAGCCTGGTCGACACAGTGAGACTCCATCTCAAAAAAAAAAAAAAAAATGGTGCCATGTGGATATATAAGGTGTGTGTGTGTGTTTTTTTTTAGGAAGTTGTACGGTTTCTAGACAAGAAGCACCCAAACCACTATCGTGTCTACAATCTCTGCAGTATGTACATTACTCTATATGTTGCTACTATGGCTAGAAAATAGATTACTGCATATAAGAAGATGATTTTGTTTTTTATATTGCATTTAATCATAAGTATTTGGTGGTGGTGAGGAATGAATTTAAAAATCCCTACCTTGGACTGACCCCATTTGGTAGGAGTTAGCCCAGCAGCACAAAGCACTCTATGAAGGAGGCAGTTCTGGCAGGACCAATGAGGCTGGCATGGAGGTAAACCATTTTAGGGAAGATCTGTTCTGGCGATATTAGGTTTAGGAAAATCTTTCTGTTTCTCCTGCCAGATTATGTTATGAGGACATAGACAGTATAACAAATGAGTCCTCTGATCCATTAGCAGTGGGTTGTGATGAGAACAGGGCCATAGACGGGAAAAAAGCAAAAAAAAAAAAAAAACTCTAGAAAATAGGTTGTAAAGCAGCTTACCATTCTGTCTCTCTTGATTTTTCCCCCTGCCTGTATACTCAATAGACATTTTCAGGAGGCAATCTTTTTGGTCAGCTTCATTTGCCTCTTGTGTGGTTTCTAACTACTCTGCAATAATATAATGAGTAGTCTGCTAGAAAGTTAAAAATTACACCTGTTAAACAAAAATAAGTTGAGTTTAGGGTACATGAGTTGGATAAACCTCTATTATTACATTTTTGAGACTCTTACATTTATTTTAGAGCAGCAGGAGCAACTTGGAGAGCTTTTTCTGAAGATGGATAAGGAATTTCTAATAAGATATGTTAACCTATTAATAACTTCATTTACTATGGTATTACCCATAGAGATATGACATATGTATTATTTATTTTAGGTGAAAAAGCTTATGATCCTAAGCACTTCCATAATAGGGTCAGTAGAATCATGATTGATGACCATAATGTCCCCACTTTACGGTAAGTTTTATGCTAAGTTGACTATCAGAAAGAGGGCTAAATATATTGGGCTTAATTTTTTGAAAATAATTTAACTAAAAATCTTAAACTTGGAATCAGTGAGATGGTGGTATTCTCAAAGGAAGCAAGTGAGTGGATGGCTCAAGATCCTGAAAACATCATAGCGATTCACTGTAAAGGAGGCAAAGGTAAAACATTTTCCTTTTTATTTCTCCCTTTCTAAAGACATGTAACTATAAATATAGTACAAGAGCAAGATACATATTGCTATTAATAAGTATTAATAATTGTTAGCATTTTAAAATATTAGCTCCAAGACTGAAAGAAGGGAAGGAGAAAGGAAAGAGGAGAGGAGGAAAGGTAAGAGACCAGGAGAGGATAAGGAAGGGAAGAAAGTAGGGAAAAAAAACGAAGGAAGGTTGAGCATATTTTTCCTTTTTTTTCCTACTACTTGTATTTCTTTATTTTTGGTTTTCCAGTTTATATCTCTCAAAATACAAATAGTCTTTCATTTTAGAATGTGAGAGTACTTTTATTTAAGGTGGCTTTTTATTTGTAAATTAACAAATTAAAAAATCAATATATTTATGGTATACAACAACATGTTTTGATATATGTAAACACTGTGAAATGGCTAAATCAAGCTAATTAACATATGCATCACTCCACATACTTTTTTTGTAGTGAGAACATTTAAAATGTACTCTCTCAGCAATTTTCAAGTATACCTTATTATTAACTGTGGTCACTATGTTGTACAATAAATTTCCTGAATTTACTCTTCCTATCTAACTGAAATTCTGCATCCTTTAACCAACATCTCAGACGGGATGCAGTGGCTCATGCCTGTAATCCCAGCACTTTGGGAGGCCGAGGCAGATGGATCACCTGAGGTCAGGAGTTCAAGACCAGCCTGGCCAACATGGTGAAACCCTGTCTCTACTAAAAATACAAAAAATTAGCTGGGTGTGGTGGTGTTTGCCTGTAATACCAGCTACTTGGGAGCCTGAGGCAGGAGAATTGCTTGATTACCAGAGGTGGAGTTTGCAGTGAGCTGGGATTGCACCATTACACTCCAGTCTGGGCAACAAGAACAAAACTCCATCTCAAAAAATAATAATAATAAAATAAAAACCAACATCTCCACAATCCCCTCACTTTTGTCCCCCCAGTCCCTGGTAACACCCTTCTATTCTCTGCTTCTATGAATTTGACTTTCTTAGATTCCACAAATAGGTGAGACATGCAGTATTTGTCTTTCTATGCCTGGCTTATTTCACTTAGCATAACATTTTCCAGGTTCATCCATATTATCTCAAGTGACAGGATATCTTCTAAGGCTGAATAGTATGCCCTTATGTATTATACCACATATTCTTTATCCATTCATCCATTGATGACATTTAGATTGACTCCATAGCTTGGCTATTGTAAATAATGCTGCAGTGAACATGGGAGTGCAGATATCATTTCCTTTGGATATATACACAAAAGTGGAATCTCCAAATCTTATGGTAGTTATATTTTTGTTTTCGTTTTTGTTTTTTTGAGGAACCTCTGTACTGTTTTTCATAATAACTACTAATTTACATTCACACCAACAGTGTACAAGGGCATTCTCTTTTCTCTACATCCTCACCGACTCTTCTTTTGTCTTTTTGTTTATGACCATCCTAACAGGTATGAAAATATTTCTTTGTGATTTTGTTTTTCCCTGATGATTTTAACATTTTTTCATATACCTCTTGGCCATTTGTATGTCTTCTTTTGGGAAATATCTTTTCAGGTTCTTTGCCCATTTTCTAGAGAAGTAACTTGTTCTCTTGCTATTGTGTTGTTTGAGTTCCTTTTTTTTTTTTGAGACGGAGTTTCGCTCTTGTTACCCAGGCTGGAGTGCAATGGCGTGATCTTGGCTCACTGCAACCTCCGCCTCCTGGGTTCAGGCAATTCTCCTG